TCTTTAAAATACAGATATATATGTCTCAGGATAAAGTCACAGCTCTGCAGGGGACTATGCCTCAGAATATTATGGCTTAATTCCTGGTCAGACTAAAGCTAGGTCAGTATTCAGGGAGAAGCCTGGAGAGAGCAAGAGCTGCCTTCCTCCTGACCTTCAGGAGCTGAGCAGTGACCCCGGGCTCCCCTCCTTTCCTCCTCCCGTGGCAAGCCGCCCATCCTCAGCCTGCCACGCTGCTCACGATGATCCATCCGCACCCTGCGGCACTGCTTTCCTTGATGGCAATAAATGCTTAGTGACAGCACCACCGAGCCGCCCCGCCCGCAGAAGCGGGATGCAGAGCCAGCTGGTGATGGATGAGGACTGGGACCAGTGTCCCTGGGACAGCAGCTGAGCACAGGGGACGCAGCAGGCAAAGAGAAGACCAGGGCTTTCTCTTCCCCTGGTCTGAAAAGCTATTTTAGAAAGCCACGACCAAAGCAGAACCCATTAATGCCTCGTATTTCAAACCCAGCACAAATACATATTTATGTGCAAGGGTTAACCAAGCAAATACCCTCCGACAGCAAAAGCACGTGGCTGGACTGCAGATAACTGAACAAGGCGGCGATTTGGCTCTAAACACAATAGCTGGACGTCACCGGAGCGACCACTTTGGGTAGATGACCACATTCCATCCCCATCACGCTAAGAAGGTGCCTGGACCTGGAAAGACCATCAGTCTAACGAGATCAATCTGTTTAGCTTAATAAATAGGAGGTGAAGGAATGACTTGAGCACTATCCAAACTATTGAAAGGCAGAAGGGATGTTGGCTAAAAGAGCTACTGGGCTGAAGAGTCCAGGGTACGCAGACGCAATGGAGGGAAGAGGAGAGTCAAAAGCAAGGCGCTTGTGAGAACAGCTACCACTGCAGTGATACAGAAATGGTTCTGACAAGTTCACCCTCACTTGTAATTGTACATCAGATCGAGCGTTTGGGTTTTTTCCCTTCACAAATTGAACTGGAATAAATTAAGGGATGTGCTACAGCCTGTATTTTGCCGTGGGTTAGATCAATGATCCAAATGTTCTTTGCTGGCTTTGCAGTCAATGAATCACTAAATTTGGATCCACATTCTCACCAGATGGATCAGAACCAGAAACCAAGGTACTGCTTCCCTCGGGGCTTAATGGAGTTTCTGTCTGGTTCTGGAGCAGATCTGGGAATTTTAGTGAAAGTTTTATATCTATTTTCTCCCTGAAAGCCCGACTGCAAGGTTCCAATGATTTTCCAAGCACCTCAGTTTTCATTAAATCCTTGTGACTGCAGATAAAATCGTGAATGGTCCTAAAAGTTCCAACACTGGGGGGGTTTCCTGAGTTATGATTTTCTCAGTTTGGCCAGGGGGGGTGCAGACTTTCTTCCACAGCCAGGGCTGGCAATGCTGAGATGGTCTTCCTGAAAGCAGGTCCTGGCAGAGGGATTTTTACAGTGGGCACAGATACCTGACTTCTTCCATCTTTTCAGTAACAGGCTGCGAGCGTGCTTCTCTGGCTGTTTGGCATTTGCTGGAAAAGACTACGATGAGAAGGAGAAATCAATAAATTCCATCACAGATGACAAACATGGATGGAAAACATTGCTTGGGGTTGCTAATCAACATCTGCAGTTGGGATGGATGGGGCATCCCAGGGTCAGACACCCTCACCCTAAATGCTCCCGCCTGCGTTGGCAAAGCTCCTGCCAAGAGCTCCTGGGGTGCAGGTGCCCCCCCTCCATCCGCAGTGGTGCTTCTGCCAGGTTCCCGGTCCCATTTCAGCAGTCTCCTGTCTCCTCGCCTTGAAAGCCTGATTGCAAATCCTGAACAAGTGCTCTATGATGGGCTGGCTCCCTGCCCAGAGACTGCATCAGAAATTCTGCTTGATGTATCGAGCTCTCCACAAGCAGGGGGAAGGGAGGAGAGCCAGGGGAGGTAAGGAAGGGGCACCATGGACAACCCCAACTTCCCTGCTTTCCTCTTTCCAGGAGACCAGGGACACACCAGGAGGTTCTCTTCCCTTTGACCTGTCCCTGGCTTTCCACCACCTCCTGATGGATTTGGTCCTCAGGAAAACAGCAGCAGGAGGGTCCAAGGATGGCAGACGCAGCAGTCCTGCCAGACCCTTCCTGTATACCCAAGAGACCCCACTGCTCACGGGGTCTGTCCGGGTCCAGCAGCCCTATGCTCCCCTGCCAAACTCCTTCCTCCGTCGGCAATGCAGGCATCACAGCAGCAGCTACTTGAATATTCGGAGTTCCTGACTGCAATCTGAAATATCAAACCAAGGCCACGCTCACAGCAGAGATCTGCCCCGTGGGACAACACGAGTCCTGCTGAGGAAGCTCCAACAAGAGCACCTTGGCCAGTCCCACCAGTCAGTCTTGTCTACTGGGAGGGCAAAATGGAGCTGCCAGTCCTTCGAAACTCTCAATTCACGTTCAATTTAACTGTTTTCTTTCTTGGCAGGCAGAGAAGAGGAATGAAAGTAGTGTGTCTAGGCAAGGAAGACTTCAGAACCCCCTCGAGCTGTCCCTGGGCACCACATCTGAGCTCAGGAGACCTGGAGATGCTGGAGTGGTGCAGGGCTGAGCCCTCCCAGAGACCACGCAAAAGTTTCAGTGGAACCCAGAGGTGGTTTTGATTTGGCCTCCTCACATAGCAACAGAAGGGTGAGAAAACCTTTCTGGTTTTGAATCCGAAGGTGGCACTAGCTCTTTATAAGGTTCTCAGATATTTTGGAGTCAAAGAGGTTGGTTTTTAGGCTCTAAAACCGTCAAAGGCTCTCGGGTCAAGAGACATCTGGAAACTGTGCCGGCTGGTGTGAGTCACCTCCTATTTCATCCTCGTGCCCTTTGAAATGGAGCTTCTTTTCCCAGCGAGAGGTTGACCCAGCACACCGAGGAGCCCCGGGAAGAACTGCTGACGTCGGCGAGCTCTGCATCACGCCGGCGCTATTCTGGCTCCTTCTCCCTTCGTTAGATGTCACAACACGAGGACGGTCTCTTTCAAAGGCAGACAAAAGGCAGCTACCACTGTGCTTTTCAAGCCAGTTTGGCTCAATCTTTGCCTTCTCCAAAGGATGAACTTGTGAAAAAAATTCTGGGACCATGTTGCAGGGCCCATATTGTATCACAGTCAGCCCCTGCAGAAGTGACGTCCCTTTCCTGAGGGACAACTGTCCTCCCAAAAGGCTTCCTGAGAAGCAAAGGCCTAAATCCAATGTTTTATATTTTTCTTACCAACCAAAAGCGGGAGTTCCAATCACTGGGAGGGTGAAACACTAGGATGGACCACAGCTGGATGAGACAGTAATTAGTCAGAAGGAAAAATATGATAAGTGAGCCCCATGCCAAAGGCAGAGGAGCAAGAAGAGCAAGGTCCTCAGGTAGACATGGGGTGGGTTGGGGCCAGGATGGAAGGCAAGTCACGCCTAGAGCTCAGCCCAGTCACTGGTGGGACATCGGTCCACGCGGGTGGGATGGGCCCTGCTCAATGGAGAAGGCAGCTCCTGTAACACATCCCAACCTTCAGAAACAAGGACACCAACCACCGCGCGAGAAAAGACCAGCAGGAGAGCCAGAGAGATCCGCAAAGCCTCTGGGTCAAATCAGAGCATGGAAATGGGGATGGCAGCAAGAAGGGTCCTCATGGGAAAGAGGATGCAAGATCAAACCACAGCAGGGAAGGGGACAGGACTCCATCACGTGGTGGCTGAGATGTGGAGCCAGGTCTGTTTCCCCACCTATCAAACCGCCAAGGCAGATGACCATAGATTAAATGAAAGACACCGGTGCTGGTATCCACCTGCACATCACAGACACGTGCTTGGTCTGGGACAACCCTGCCCCGTGCAGCACCAGGGACCTGCCCCTACTCCATGGGTGTCACCACCTACCAGGATACCTCCATCCCTCAGACAACTTTCTGCCACATCCATCACCCACAGTGCCCAGGACGGAGCCGACCAGCAAGCGCAGCATTCACCCTAAAGGTCACTCCCAGCTTCCTGACCACACCGGTGGCTGGGAGCACTCAGAGGAGGAGTCCCAGTGCCACTGTCCCTTGTGACCAGGGCTGGGCTTTCCCGGCGGGGAGGGAGGTTTGCCACTCACCTAGCAGCAGGTTCATGAGGACCTCCTGGCCCGCCAGCGTGCTGCTCTTCACCAGGCAGATGAGGGTGCCCGCGATCCAGGGGATGCCGTGCCCCGTTATCCCCAGGAGGTTGATCATGGAGCGTGCACCGCCCCAGGAGGAGGCTCTGTTGGCGCACACTCCCAGCCTCTTGGACATGCAGATATCGATGGCTAGCAGGGAGTTGAAGGCGATTCCCTTGAAGGAAGGGTTGAGCTGCATGCAGTCCTCTTCGGGCAGCTGCTGCGACTGCCTCCGCTCCTTGGGGTTGCTGTTCTGGGCACCCGCTGCCCCGGTTTGGCCGCTCTGCTTTCTGCCGGAGCTCCTGCTCTCCTGGGTCCCCTTCAAGGGCTGATTCAGGGAGAGGAACTCGGTCCTGTTGAGGACATTGTTCCTGTCTCTTGCCCTGGACCGCGGCTGGGATGCTGGCATTGCAGTCTCTCTCGAACGCAACCTGCTTTGCAAATACCAGGAAGGAGAGAAATCCCTCTTCTCCCTGCAGAAAGCCTTCCCCCACTCCCACCCTCACGAGCTGTGAATTTGGGAAGCTGCAAATGTTCCCCTCTGTTGCAGTTGCCCCCAGCACAGCCTGCAGCTGTTAAATATAGAGTAAGGAATGCACATGGCTGTTTACTTCATGGGCCTAGCAAGCTTGGAAGGAAAATTAATGCCAGGCTTGGCAGCCACTCCAGTGCCAGGGAAAAAGGTTAAACAGCCAATAGACTGGGAGAAGAGGAGGGAAAAGCGTTGTGCCAAAGGTTGGTTGCTTCTGGCCTGGTCTATTTAAATCTGCCAATTGCTTATTCCCCTGGGCTGCAAGGGAAACTGGGAAATGTAGTTTTTTTTTGCACTACAATTCATATTTCAGTATCTGCAGCCAGCGCTGGAGGAGATCAGAGCATCCCCCCTCCCCACAGTGTTGCTGCTACGGCGAGATGCGCTGCCTGGCTTTGCAATTTCCAAGGCTGGGCGTCGCTCAGGGGCTTTCCCCCAAGGGGCTCTCCCTGGGTAACTTCTCGATTTGTCTCTTCTGCAACACCCCACCCCTGCTAGGGCACCCCAAATACCACCTGCCTCTCCCTGGTACCGACACCTTCCAAACATCACTGGCCCCATCCTCTCTCCCCGCTCAGGATGCATCCCTGCAGCGACTTCCATCGCTCACCGCATCCCCGGACCCGAGGAGAAGCAGCACCTGCCTCCTGATTAAAGGAGACATGGCGCTGATAATGAATTCCCATCCCCCTGCCCCCCGTGCCGAGCGTGCCCTAAATACCGCACGTCTCTGCGGTGTCATCCAGCATCATGGATCCTGCACTGAGAGCAGGTGACAGGCGACGCCCGTGTCCCCGAGCTGCGGATGCGATCGGCAGCACAGGTACTGGCCCCGGGGGAGCTGCATTGCGGGACGGGGAGGAGGAAGGCTCACACCAGGCCCTGGGGTGTCCTCCTGCAGAGGACGGGGAGACCTGCTGTCACTCCTGCCACTGCGCAGTGTGCTCCATCGCTTCCTCTGCCATCAGCCTTCCGCCTCCCCGCTCCACACCGCAGCCAGGGTGAACCCCCCGAGACATCTCCCCCCCGCCCATGACCACGAGAACATCCCCCCTGCGCTCACAGCTCTGGTTTATGGGTCTGAAGGATCTCGCTGCAGCCCCTGAACCCCAGCTGCCTGGATCTGAGCCTCAAGCACCGCCGGGACAGACCCATTGCAGCCCCTCCTGCCCGCAGGACGCAGCCGCTGCAGCGACCGCCTGAGCTGGACCCACCCGCTGCCAGCACCGGGTCCCCCTCCCCGGGCAATGGGCTGTCACAGCTCCACACCGCTCACACCCGAGAAACAGGATTATTGCTGTGCAAATAGACTGGAAATCCCCCACGGACAGAGAAGTGGAGAAGATGAGTATTGCTCCGAGGAGCAGAACAGGCACGTCTCTTGGTGCCAATGACATTTGCATGCACAGAGGTCAGTGTTTGTACAGGGACCCTGGCCCAGGTAGCTTTAAAAGTCTTGTCTGAAATGCACAGGAGAGCTTAAGTGCTAAATGAAAGGTGGTTCTTGGATTTCTAAGCTAATAAGAAAAAATTTGCACTTTCTTCACACTTTTTATCCACAGATCCCAAATTCTTCTCGATGAACTGCTCATCCCGCCTGTGCCCGTCTCGCAGCGTGGCCAGCGGCGAGGGAAAGGCTTAGCCAAGCACATGCCAGGGGTCCTGGGGAGCCCTCACCCTGGGCTCTGCTTGTATTTCCCTCCCTAATGAACCAAAGGAAAATTATACACGTCCATTTATTTCTGAATCACACCTTCCAGGAACCTACCCCTAGCCTGAGATGATGATCTGAGCCAGGGGAAGAGCTCGTCCCCTCCCCAGACACCCCATAAACCACAACCCCCCAGCTCAGGTACCCTTTGGGGCTGTGGCATCCCAGGACTGTGCATGGATGCTGCCGCATCACCAACACCCGCCAGCTCCCACCCGATGGCCAGCTGCGCAGCGGCATTCTCATGCTATCGGGGAAGTCAGCACCTCATCCCTATCTGCCTGCCTGCATCGCCTGCCCGGCTCCGAGGCATGTGGAATATCTCATCCCACCTGACATCGGCCGGGGAGATAATCCTTGTCACTGCTTTCACTTGGCTGTGGCTGTCACCTCTGTTTGTCCTGCTCCACGCAGGGCTGCTGCCCTGCGAGGAGAGGGTTAAAGCGCCAGTGGCCAGGGGTCTGCAGAAATTGGGAGACTCTTCTCCCTCCTGTCCCACCCGTGCTGGGGATGCTGAGCGTGTTCCTCAGGAGCTCTCACTGGGGGAAAAAAAATACCTTGAAAGCCCTAATCTGGTGCCTGCCTCTTCTGCTGACACCAATATGGGGGAATCTTTCTGCCTTACACGCACCGAGCTGCCCCGGCTTCCTCGTGGGAATCCAGCCTCGCACCCCAGCATGGGTCCCCTGCGGGAAGGGGACGGAGGAGGAAGGGCAGCGCGGGATGGATGTGGTGTTAGCAAACCCATCGAATGTGCAGGGGGAAGGGAAAGGGGTTTGGTCCCTCCTGCAGCCAGGCAGGCTGTCACCTCCGGTCCCAGCTGGAGAAACCCAGTTTGGAAGGGAAAGGTCCTGATCCCTGCACCGGGGCCACGTCGAGCACGGTGTCACTGGACATGTGGAGGGACACAGCGAGCTCAGAGGAAATGCGCTCTGCTCGCAAAACACCCCCAAACCCAGGGGTTTATAAATATCCCCGCTAACAGGCAGGCTCCCTGCTCTGGCAGGGCTATTCCAGGCCTGATACTCGATCCATGTGGGCCATGGAGCACCCTGGAGAATGCCCAGACAGACAAATCCGCAGGGATAAATCTGGCACGCTCCATGCGCCCCGTCTGACTGGCCCCAGCGGTGCCCCCCAGCCTGCCCACCCCTGCTTGCCCACGGCATCAGCGGCCAGCACGGCCACGCGGGTGGCACAGCAGGGACAGCAATGTCCCCTTTCTCCACAATTCACAGCAGCGCTGGTGCACCCCAGCCTCCAGCAGCAGCTGGCCAAGCGGCAGCGCTTGCAGCCAAAGCGCTTGTGAGCAAACCTGCAGCGTTCCTGGGTGGGCTTCTTGGGGTGAAAACCAAAGCCTGGTCAAAAGAAAACATAATATTCTGCAGTATTGACGGCACACGCAGCAGTGCCAGCCCGGCCCGGAGCACAGCCCAGCAGAGCCGCTGGTGGGCTGGTTTTGCTTGTCGCTGCTCGGATGGTGAAAGGGAGATCCCGCCTTTCAGAAAACCTGGAAAATGTGCTGGAGGGACACAGGGACAAAGCGCAGGCCATGGTGCGGGGGGAGCAATAGCAGGAACGGAGCGTGGCCGTGCTATCCTGAGACAGGTGCACCAACGGAGCAGGAGAAGGCAACGCAACCCGCAGCATCGCCCGACGCTCCTGATTCTTACTGATCACAGCTTGGCCTCGCATCTCCAGCAACCCCCTACGCC